TGAGATTGTAACTCTTGCGGATAGTTTCTTTTTATTCCTTCGACTCCAGGGAGTGGAGCTTAACGGATAAACAGGGTCAGAGTTTGTGAGTGAATTATTTTCCGTCATTCATTTGATTCTTTTTACTGAAATTAGTTTCAAGGGTTATAAAGTATATTAATTCTGCCTGCCGGGTATAGTGGTGCATACCTGTAATTGCAGGACTTGGAAGGCTGAGGCAGGAGGGTTGTCATAAATTTGAGGCCAGTATGGGCCTGAACTGCATAATGAGACCTTGTTTCAAAGCAAAAACTATGTATATTTTACACACACACACACACACACACACACACACACACACACACAAAGTCCACCAAAAAATGTTATACACTTCAACAGTTTTCCATGCTAATACATATCTGGAAGCTTATGGTCACCACTTTAAGCACCTTTTGTAATTGTAGAGGCCAAAGGTAACTTGTAACATCTCATAATGTATCAATAAATTCAGTATTAAAATATTACACGTTTTTCTTTTGCTGATATATATATATGTTTAGTGGTATCTCTGTGTGTGTGTGTGAGTGTGTGGGTATATATATATATATATATATATATTTCTGATTTAGGTTTAGTAAAATTTTCTCAACACATTTGAAAATTTTGCATCTCTTTACACTGTGTAATCAGAATTTCTTAGTACTTCCGGTAATGAATTACATATCTGCATTTTACTGAGGAAGTATTGACCTTTAATACCAAAGGTTAAATTAAGTAGTAGCTATCTATTTAATAAATACCCCTAGCTTGAACTGACTTGATACAGTTTAGTTTACAGAGTTGTATAGTTCTTTCAAAACTTGAATCAGACATTTTTCTGATGAATAAATGTAAAATTTGAGCCATTGTCTTAGAAAATAGGGTTATATACTTATATCCATACAATGGAATACTGTTTCATTTGCTTATGAAAGTTTTCTAACAGTATCAGAAGGTGCTTCTCTGTATGTGGTACTGGCACCAATGTGAAATCTATTTACACATAAGAGAAATTAGAAAAAAGGACATACAAGCTAGGTGTGGTGGTGCATACGTGGAATCCCAGCACTCAGGAGGATTGCTGTGAGTTCGAGGCCAGTGTGGGCTACATAGTGAGTATAAGGCCAGCCTGGACTATATAGGGAGACCCTCTCTTCAAAAAGGAAAAAAAAAAAGGCTTACAGAAAAGAAGCATATCAAATACAAGTAGTGAGTGGTTCTGTTGGATGAGATTATGAGTTATTTACATTTTTATTCTTTTGTGTTCTATTTTTGGTATTAACTGAGTATCATTCTGGTTATAAAAAATCCATTATGAGGTTGTAAATCATTTTATGCACATCTTATTAAAGATTTTAAACATATAATAGGGCCTCACGGTTAATTAATGCTTTCTGTAGAGAGACAGTGGAAAATTAGCCATTATAGATTTTAAAAAATATTGAGGATTTTGTCACTTAGCACTTGATGTGGTTGTATATGACAGTGGGCATTGTTCCTATAGACGTGTGTTTCTTAAACTGGGAATGCTGGTGTTAGCTCATAGGTTTGCTGCACCAGTTCGGAAAACAGTAACTCAGAGCTTTATGAAGCTGATGACACCAGGTGGGAAAGTCTTAAGCCATTTTAGTTCAATGACTTGTGAGCATAAACTCTAAAACAAAACAAAGCAAAAATACATTTTTCTTGTTGTACTATAACGTATTTGTACAGCAGTGCACAAGCCTTAAGTGTATAATTTATGCATATTCTTGAAGTGAACATACTCTTAAAACCTTTTTACTTTTTGTCACATAACATTGGTGTTTGCTTTTGATAAAGTTTTCATAGAGTTCTGCATTAAGAAACATTGTTTAGTGTGATGTGGTCTCCAGAAGTTATGTTTTGATTATTTCAGTCTTGTAACTGTACTAGCTCTTTGGATTTTTTGCTATTTTCAAAGAACTCTATAAAGTTTCACTCAAAATATTGTTATCCCTAACTTGTAGTAGGAAAATAGTTTTTTTTAATGAAAGAAAACAATGATTACAAAGTTATTGACATGTAGCCTCTGTGGAATCTAATTTTACTTTCATTCCCAACCGCAGCATATGTTTTGCCTCAGGCTGGTTGTGTGGAACTTGATTCCTGTGCATCTACATAAGATATAACTCAGTTTGCTAATCAGAAGAAGCAAATCAGCAGCTGTCTGTTAAATGTGCCAGGCCTAGAAATCCTGGACCAACCCGGGAGGAATGTAAGAGAGCATTAGCCTCAGAGGAGGGAACAGGCCTGGCTCACAGGCCTTGCTGGGGTCACAGAGTTGGTATTAGGACCCTGCCCCCATCCCGTTACTGATCATTGTAAATCCCCATTCTCATCTAAAAACTCACCTTTTCTCCAGAAGATGGGACGCTCTGTGAAGCTGACATCTCCAGAAAGATAAATTACCTATCATGTTTTCAGCCAGACATGGAGATAGCCTGACAGCATTGCCTGTTTTGGAATATATCCCTTGGGTTACCCAGGTGAATGAGAGACAGTGTGGCAGAGGTACAGATGCCAGCCTGTAATTGTTTGGAGCATTGCTGAGAGTACACTGAACTGGAGTAACCCTGGCGATAGGAACAGTGTGGTGTGATGTTGACTTGTGACCCTTCCCTAGGGATTGAACTGTGTCCAGAGGCCACAGTGCTGGAACACAAGGTTTCTAGGCTGTGTTCTCAGGTGCTGAACAGGCAACTGGTGACTGCCACCTGTAAATGACTATCAGTATTTCATGATTTGTGATTTTCCAGGTTTTTAAAAGCTCCCTAGTAGTAGATAGAGAAATAAAGCTGCTCTTTGATTTTCTAAGGGAGGTCAGGCAACATTATTGAGTAAGCATTGTTCATTGTGGGTATGCCCTGAGGATCTGTGTTATTTACTGAGCATCTATATGGACTTAATCTATGCAGCTGACGCTTCCAAAGGAAGGCTGTAAGTGTTCTCCAGAAATCTTGGTCCTTTTAGTATGTTGGATGAGTGTCATGCACAAAAGTTTTGTCAGAGGCTAGGATGTGGTTTAGCAGATCCTGTGCTTAGCGTAGGTGAGGGCCTGGGTCCAGTACCCCAGCACCAAAACAAAGTTCCACCAGAGCGAACTGACTTCAAGCTTCCTGTGAGTTGGTATCCCGATGGAAAAAGTGTCTTCTCAGTGTGGCAGCACACATCCTTGGAATGACCTTCAACACTGCTGTCCAGATCCTGACCAGATCCGGCTGTCCAGACTCTTCCCTAAGCCTTCCTTAGAGGTCAGATTGAGCACTTGCCTTCAAGTACGTGACGGTGCCTGATGCTAAGTATTTGGCTGTCGTCCCTCTGCCTCCTTTAGAATGTTCCCGTTTACCCTTCTTTTCCAGATCTTGTCCAGCTCAGGGCCGGACTCAGTTCCCATGCTCTGTGCAGCACCTTTCCTAGTCTTCTCTCCAGAGTGCTTAACAGGTTTGCCTGTCTCGTGCTATCAGCGATACAGCTGCAGTGTGGCCTAGTGTGGAGAGAATCAACTCTGGGCCTATTTCCTGGGAGATCTTGGACTATTAAGATTTTTCCAACCTGGATTTCTTCACGTGGAAAAAAAGAAGAAGAATTGTACTTTTGCTCATAGTCATAAGATCAAAGTGTGCCTGGCACCATTTTCATTAAGTAGTAGTTATTATTCCTTCTAACATGTATTAAATCATAGCTTTCCCTGTGTCATTGTTTAATCATTTTAATTACCTATTTTGGGGGGCCCTCAGTGAAACTGTGAAATCTCATGGAGACAGGAATGTGATTTTGTACTTTTTCTTGATCCTTTACTATTTAGGCATGTAAGTCCCCTGTGCACACATTATAATGAAACTATTATTTTAGTAAAGAAAATAGATTGGACTGGGGAAATAACTCAGTGATTTATCACATGCCTCTTGTGTATGAAGTCTTGGGTTCAATCCTTAGCAAAAGAAGAAAAAATGTAAATGAAACAGGAAATAAGGAATGAGATAAGCTTTAGTGTACAGATGACTTACTTACTTTTCTCATTGCTGAAACAAAATACTCAATGCCTAAAGTTAAGGGAGGAAAGGTTTATTTGGTTCACAGTTTATAGAGGTTTCAGTGCACAGTTGGCTAGCTCCAAGGCAGAGTGGCATGACAGATATCCAAGAGGACAAACAGTTCACGGCAAGCAGAAAGTAGCCAAGTAAACAAGGACCAACCACAGCTCTTTCTATTCCTTATATTTTATCCAGGCAGCTTAGGGTGGTAGCACACCCTTACTCAGATGCTTTTGATCCTAGCATTGTGCCATGAATCGAGTCACCCACACTAGATCCAGCCACCTCTAAAAAGCCCCACCTATGCCTGCATGCTTTGGGGGGACAGCTAATCCCAAGCCATAACGCAGATGGAGTCTTATGATTCTTAGAGCGTGTAATTCATTCCTTTTTCATTATTGTTGAGCCTAATGAGTTGTTCTGCCACAATCCCCAAAAGTGTGAACATTATTTAGCAAGGAAGCAATTTCAGGAAATTGATGCAGACACTTTTCTTGTAGGCCCATGGTGGAAGGGAATCTCAGACAGTACAGTGTGATCTGTCAGAGTATCTCAAAGCAGGACATGGTAGGTCATGAGCTAGTTCGTTGTTTTCATTTCTTTCCCATCCTGGCAGGCATGTCACCATTGAGGTGCGGACCTTAGTCATCAGCTATTCTCTGCCTTCCCCTCCTTTGTTAGCAGCTCAGCTATTCACAAGCATCACTTTCATTCGTTAGTGACCTTTGAGGGAAATCAAAGTCACACCCCATGGGAAGAGTTAGGGACTCGGGTGAAACCATAGAATAAAACTAAGCAGATTGCAGACAGGAGTCCACTGGGGCCTTTGCCATCCGCCCAGCTGTCGGGGACCTCAGCCAGGGTTCCTCACTGGGCCCCAGGGCAGCCCTTTCTGAGATAAAAATGCTGCATTTCTCTTTCTCCTAGGCTGGAACAAGACATTAAAAAGTTAAAGGCTGACCTGCAAGCCAGCAGGCAAGTGGAACAGGAGCTCCGCAGTCAGATCAGCTCCCTCTCCAGCACTGAACGAGGGATCCGCTCAGAAATGGGCCAGCTCCGGCAGGAGAACGAGCTGCTGCAGAACAAGTACGTGCACCTCATGGGCCTCACTGCCTCGCTGTTCCTTGCACTTTGAGGGTTTGGAGCACAAGATAAATGGTGACAAAGAGACTTAATCAGAGACGTTTTCAAAGCAAATATTTCAAATAATTTAATACCAGATTTAAAAAAAATTACTTCAAGGCAACAAATAGTTATTAGTGGGGGCTGGGGATTTAGCTCAGCGGCATAAGCGCCTGCCTTGCAAGCAGGCAGTCGTGAGTTCGATCCCTGGTACCGATAAAAACGAAAAAGACCCCCCCCAAAAAAATAGTTATTAGTGATTGTTGAGTTTTTATGATAGGTGAAGCTGATAAGCAGTTTTGCTACAATTTGAAAATCTTTTTCCTTTGCCGGAAAGTGTCCAGATGATTAGACTATATTTACTAGAACTAAAATGTGACATTGAACTTTGAAGAACAAGGCAGTAAGCCAGCTTGTCTAGGTGAATTCTTTTAAGCTTTCTATTAATTCATTCTAGAATACTTGTTGGTCCAGTGGCCAATGCGTGTTGGTCATAATGATATAAGCTCTAGGCTTTGTCCGTTGAGAGAGTTGTTCCATATTTGTAAGCGGTGTAACCCCAAAGCTAGAGTATTACAAGCAAAAGCTTCTCCACTGCTTCTGAACAGCATTGTTCTAGCCTTGATAAATACTGTAATGAGTGTGTTGATGATAAGCTCCCCTCACACTGATGTGTAAAGCTGTGCGGGCCTCTTAGAATTCATTTGGGGACAGCGAGAGCCCTTCTGGGAACTGGAAAGGAAAGGCTGTGGCATGATTGCATTCAGGAAAAGGAAGGCCTCTCCCTTCTCCCCGTTTCACTTTTGGTGAGACTAGTCTAACCAGTGATTCTTTTACCTCACTGAAGTTCCTGTAAGGTACGCTGAGGCACCAGTTAGTCCTGTCATTGTGTCGCTGTTAGAACCTCTTCTGTCCTACATTCTGAACTGCCTGTTGCAGATCACTTCGCTTAACAGAGCAGAGGGTAGGTCTGACCCCAGGGTCTTACTGATGTTCAGGACTTACTAAATAATGACAGTATGTTTTCTGTGGGCACACTGATGGTTGATACTCATGGTGTACTGTTCAGACCTCCTGTTTCCTTGACTGTAAAGTGATAAAAAAGAGGGAAACCATGTTTTCCAAGGGTTTTATAGTATTTCTAATTGTAAGGCTTTGTATGACAACTCTTTCCATATAGGTTACATAATGCTGTGCAAATGAAACAAAAAGACAAGCAGAATATCAGCCAGCTGGAGAAAAAGCTAAAAGCTGAGCAAGAAGCCCGAAGTTTTGTAGAAAAGCAGTTAATGGAGGAGAAAAAAAGGAAGAAGTTAGAAGAAGCCACTGCTGCCCGAGCTGTTGCATTTGCTGCTGCATCTAGGTATGTCCATGTCACCTCAGTGTTACCCAGGATTGGTGTTTCCTTCCTGAGACGGATACGGGGGTTTGATGCCTTGGGAACCCAGGATCGGACAGACAACCATCACTTGCAGATGGCTTGCTTTAGGTAATGCTTTGTTAGCTGGTTTCTATTCCATGTTTGCCAGCTTGTCTTACGATTTCATCCCTCAGTGGCCTCACCTAGAAAGCGAGGTGCGAGTAGTCAGTGTTGCTTAGAGAAGGTTTCCAGTCATCTTTAGTGAGCCTGATGATCACTAAGTGCGTTGGGAGATTCCATCTGGAATCTTGCTTTCATTTATAGGGCTGTGATTGTTCTTTATTTTTATGGCAGGGAGGAGGTACTGGGAATTGAACTCAAGATGTCACATTTGCCAGGCAGGCACTGTGTCACTGAGCTAAATCTCCAACCTCCATGTTCTCCATTCTTTAAGTGTGTGTGTTTCCGAATTTTTAATCTTAAAAGGTAAGAAAGGCAGCACCTTAGTTACCCAAGTACTATATTATGTACTGATTAATTCAGGACTTTGCTGGGTATCAGCATACCGCCAAGTGAGGTGAAAAATTAGTGTCTAAAAGATACAATTGAGTGGTGAAAATTATGGGCTACATCCTATACCATCCTGGATGTAGGTATTCCACAAATTGATCTGTAACTGCCATCTGAATGCCAATAAGGAAAGAAAATAGTGCAGACCTTTTTTTTTTCAGTTTACTTTACCACTTCTCTCCTCTTCCTCCCTCTCCCTCCTCCTCTTCCCACTCTCACTTCCTCTTCTTTCTCCCCTTCTCCTCCTCCTTCCTCTTCCTCCTCCTCCACTTTCAGCTAGTGAAGTCTATTTGCATGGTTGGGATCAGTTATGGATTCACAGATGCAAAGTGAGGACAGATTATCTCATGTTCATTTGTTTCCTAATTTGTATCTGTGTGGTATAACTCAACTGTATGTTTTCCTAGAGTTTTGCTTTATTGTATTGAACAGATAATTTAGTTGCCAACCTCTGGCATGTTCATAGGTTTCTTTGGGATTCTGGCATTTGCAGAGTAACTGGTGAATCATTGTTTCACCTTTTAGGAAATAACAGTGAGTGCCAAGAACTCTTCCCCTGGTGTGATCGGGCCTCTTCCTACCCCTCAGACTCTAGACTTTGGGTGGCTGAACTTTGTGTTTTATCTGTATCTAGATAGACTCACAGGCATTTGGTTCACCAGACAGGATCCAGAGAGGTCCCCTAAAGAGAGATAGGACCTCAGCTCACCCCACTCATGGAGTAGGTTGTAAGTCTGCTGTCTTATATCACAGAAGAGAATGTGGGATACATCAGTGAGAGGCACTAGAAAGGTTTATGAGGCAGAATTTTTTGTTTTTTGGTACCAGGAATTGAACTCAGGACCTTATTGGTCCAGGCAGGCATTTATGTCACTGAACTATATCTCCCTCCCCAGGGAGGCAGAATTTAATAGTACACACTTAGGAGCCAGGCGTGGTTAGTAGTTACATACCTGTAATCCCCGCACTTGGAAGGCTAAAGCGGGAGGATTGCTGGGAGTTGAAGGCTAGTCTTGGCTACACAGCCAGTGTAGCCAAGGCCAGGCTGAACTGTATAGCAAGACCTTGCCTCAGAAACATCAAAAAAACAAAAACAAAAAAAACCAACCAAACTAACAAAACAACAATGACAGTAAAAGTACATACTCAGCAGATTCTTAAGAAAGACATGCCTGGGGATTCGTAAGTGAACTTGATCTTGGGTGTGTCCCCAAAATGGGTGGTTTAGAATATATATTCCTACTGCCTGTCAGGTTTCTCATGCGGTACCCTAGGTTAGAACGTTACCACTTGGATGTGTTTGAAGTTGAGATGTGCTGTCTACTGATAGTGGGAGGGCGAGCACTTTAGGAAAAGCAGAGGGCCCAGAGCCCAATTTATAGGATTGTGGTATCTTTAAAGTCTTTAGGAATTTTTTAGAGTGAGTTTCCTAAAAGGGAAAAAGGATTTGTAACCTTGAGCAACTTTTTTTTAAAGGTTTGCAATATTTATTGTTGATCCATTAGTGCTAATCACAGAAAAAGGTTACGATTCCTGATTAAGAATGTTCTGCTGTCTCAGCCAGGGGTGTTTTTTAAGCTTGATGCGGTGATGTAATCTTGGCCGTGATAAAGTATCGTCTCGTGACCTCTGAGAGGTGAATGTGCTGCAGCTCATGTGCAGTTCCTTACAGTCCCAGCTCGGTCCTCCAGTGTCCCCTCCTGGAGTTGTACTTGATTTTATTAGCAGTCTTCATCTGAATCCACTGAGGAATGGGACGATTCTGCTTTTGCTTATCGTTTGATTCCAAAAGTCTCGTGAGAAGACACAGTTAGGCTCGGAGGCAGGAGCACACACTCGATGGCGGACAGAAGCAGAACAGCTTGAGTAACTTCTGTATCCTGTACTTTTTCTTAGAAGTACAATTTTAAAACTACGATTTCCCTTATCCCCTTTCTGCCTATTTTGATTGCTTCTGTTGTAGATTTTACTGAACAGGAATCCCGTGTGGCCTATACTCTTAACTCATTCAGCATCCATCCTTGTGAAAACCTTCCGTTGAGGAAGATACAGCAGTTCCTTTATCATATTGTTTCGTGTCTCTCATGCCTGAGATTGAGCCACTTGTTTTTTTATCTCCCCTGAATCCCTCTTGCTTCCGATTAAGCTTATTTGTTTTGGTCTTATCCTTGAGTAGTTTTTATTTGTTGTCCTTTAACGTGGAACGGTCTCTACCCACACGCCAGTCTCCCTTGGACCTTTGGTAGGCAGAGGATACTTTCTTCATCAGACTCTTCTGGAGCCTCAACACTAAATAGTCCAGCAGCTCTGGCCTGGCCACAACTCCTTGTCCTTTGGCTCATCCTTAGATTAGCCCTGAGAAGCAGCCTAAAGCTGCTTCCCTTCTTATTCTGTTTACTCCAAGCTCACAGCAGCTTTATGAAATTCTTAATATGTGGCCCCTCAAAAGTAGGAAAACAAGGGGTTTGTAAGTTTATTGCCCTCTGGTGGAGATGCTACTTATTAGTTCTGTCTTGCTGTACTCTGTCTCCATGGGCCTGGGGGGAAGCATGACGGATTGGGAAGTGGAAAACTGCAGTTCCTATCCCAGTCCTGTGACCTACAAGCTAGGAGGAGGTCTTGGACTAGTATTATATCTATATATCCTCTGTCTTCTTATCTGGAAAATAGGCAGATATTGTAAGGTAGTATGGGTAAAGTATCTGTCTTAGTCTCTTGACAGGTAGATATACATTAATAATTTTATATCATTGTTGAAATTATCAAATAATAGAATGAGCATGTAAGCCAAAAGCCAATGCTTTACAGACCCTGGAGGATATATACAGCAGATGATAGACAAATACTATGCTATTTTGAACATCTATGGATTTGGGAGTCTGCAGGAGCTCCTGCAGGAACCAGTTCTCCTTGGATACAAAGGAAAAACTGTAAACTTTTTTTTTTTTTTTTTTTGGTACCGAGAATCAAATCAGCAGGACCTCACACTTGACAAGCAGGTGCTGCCACTGAGCTAAATCCCTGGCCCGAGCTTTATGGTCTTTTAAATTCTTTTTCTTTTCTTTCTCAAAAGGGGAGAATGCACTGAAACCTTACGAAATCGAATCAGAGAACTAGAAGCAGAGGGCAAGAAGCTCACAATGGATATGAAGGTGAAAGAAGACCAGATCAGAGAACTAGAACTGAAAGTTCAGGTAATAAACACAAGATTCCTTCATTCTTAACTTTCTGTTAGCCTGGATTTGTTCTGTGCTACCATGTGATACAGACCAAATCCCATTGCATCAAAGAAATCTGTGTGTGACAAAAAGATTCCAGGCTCTAATCTTGTCCAGCTCATTTCAAGTCTAATGTAATGTAGCAGAGTCTGATACAAGTCAAAAATGTTGACAGTCTCTTAACATGTTTTACATCAGGACTTGGCTCACTGTAGATTTATATAACTTTTTCCGGTATGGGCCAGATTGGTGTCCTCTGAAACTCACACATCTCTCCTTAGTCCTAACCCTTAGTCCAGTGCCAAGAGCTGACCCCTGGACAGCTCTGAGGCCTAGAGACTGTGGTTCTGAGCTCTCTATGGAGAGGAAGACATGGATATGGAGACATGGATATGGACATAGCCATGTTATTTTAGCCTTTGTACCTTAGCCACAGATTTGGCATCAGCTTTTCAAAAATTTAAAATTAATTTTTGAATTAATTTAAAATTAGTGTCATGTATTACAAATTATAGTAATTTGAATTGTGTAGGACTGGTAAGAAATTACTGGCAAGTTAGTAGAATGTGTGGCCTGGAGGTGAAGCCTGAAGTGTGTGTTGAAGATGTCCTTAGGAAATACCAGTTTTGGTGAAGATGCTACATGGTAGGCCATATGCATTGCTGGTGGAAGTATAACATTCCAGAAAATGCTACCCTGAAAAGTATTTCCCTTTTTTGTGAATTTAGCATTAAGGTAAATATTTAAAGGTAAATATTTGAAGCGTTCACCAGTGACTAAGATACAGAGATGCTCGATGTATATAGTATAAAGGCAAACAATGGAAGCAATCTTTCTGATGAGAAATTTTTGTTTAAATTATAGTATATATACATGCAGGAATATCATTTGGCCATTAAAATTTTTTTCAGTCAAGTGTACTGTTGCACACATGTAAACCCAGCATTCTGCGGGCATTCTGAGGCAGAAAGATCACAAATTTAGGAACAGACTAGCCAACTTAGTGATTTAGTGAGACCTTGTCTTAAAAAAAATTTTTTTAATGGGATGGGGAATGGAACTGAGTATGTAGTTCAGTGTGAAGGCCCATATTCAACCCTAGTACAATCAAAAGACAAAAAAGGCAAAAGAACCCAAAAGTGTATTTATTTGCTATATTACCAGTATTATAAGTTATATTCTACAATTTACTTTACCAAAATAATGAATTTTTTTGGTGGTAGGGGGCCCTGCATGCTAGGCAAGTACTCTACCACTGAGCTGTATCCCTGGCCCAACTTGCAGTTTTTAGTGTAACTTAAGAGAATTATAGTAGATCTGACTACAGCATTATAGCTATGTTTGCAAGTGGCTAGCAAGGAAAGAGTTCTCTGTATTTCTGAATTAGGCTTTCAAGACAGTGTTTAAATTGGAGGCAGACTCCACTGTTACTTAGACATGTACCCGACACAGTCAAATGATTATACGCTAATGTTTCTCGTGTGTATCACCATATAAGTACATAAGCACTTCTCTAGTGAGTTCTAAACCCATGAATCATCACGATTCTAGTGATTATGTCATGAATAGTGGGATTTAACTTGTAATTTCAGGGTTATTTATAGACATCAGTGCCAAAACTGCCTTGTAGCATTGCTGTCTTGATGATATTGATAGGAGCTTCGGAAGTATAAGGAAAATGAAAAGGACACTGAGGTGTTAATGTCAGCCCTCTCCGCCATGCAAGACAAGACGCAGCACCTGGAGAACAGCCTGAGCGCAGAGACGAGAATCAAGCTGGACCTCTTTTCTGCATTGGGTGATGCAAAGCGACAGCTCGAGATTGCCCAGGGTAGGGGAGCAACGGGGCAGGTGTGGGTGCTGGAGGTAGTGGGGATTAAGAATACACAGAATTGGGCTGGGGGCTTAGCTCCGTGGCACAAGCACCTGCTTGGCAAGCGCAAGATCCTGAGTCCTATCCCCAGGACCAAATAAAACAAAAAACACAGGGTCAAAGAGAGCCCACCTCCCCTTAGAGCTCTGAACCAAGGGGCATTTGTTATTTTTTCAAGCAATTTGATAAGTCGCCGACATTGAAGTGAAGGACGCAGCACATTGATTCATGCTGCAGGATGTATTTTGAGACAAAAAGACATCAAGTGCAGGGCATGCAGAGAAAAGTGTGCATTTATTTCTACCTTCAAGGATCGCGGTGTTGAGGATGTGGAGAACTGCAGAACCATCAAAGGGTGCTGTGGTGGCAGTGTACATGGCCTGTGGGAACACAGGAGAGGACTCAGCCGGTCTAGTCAGCTGGAGAAGGCTGAGTCCTAGAAGACCTGAGACCTGGGCGATGAAGAAGCAGCATGGTGGGGGTTGAGGGTCAGCAGGCCTAGCTGAGGGCTTGACAGTAAGGTGAGCCTGGTTATTAGAAGCTGTAGCGGCTCTGCCCGGCTGGAGCAGTGGAAGTGAGTCTGGAGAGGAGGCCAGCCCCTGGCAGGTATTTACCAAGATCTGCTGCATAAAGACGTACTGTGTCGGGCAGGATCTACTGTGACAGTCCCTGAGGATTCAGGGATACAGCCCCGTGAGGACAAAGGATGCATGAGGCAGCGGGAATGACAGGTGGGCATTATTGTGATGGTAGCGATAAGGAGGGCCATGTGTGTCTGCTGCTTCCTTCTCATGGAGTCAGGCACACCCGAGCAGAAGCTGAGAGGAGGGAGTGAGGCAGGCAGAGGGAGCGGGAGGGAAGCGCTTCCCTCACAGGGAACACAAGTGTAAATAAAGCCCATGGCAGAAGCGGGCGTTGCAGCCTGCATATCACAGGGATAAGAACGGAAGCTGCCAGCCAGCCCGAAAGGGTTGCAGCTGTGGAAGGAACGTGGGTCTTTGAAGACACGGCCTGTAGAAAGCTTCTAAATAGCGGCATGGTGTGATGAAGCAGACAAACCTGGGTCTTAGTCAAGAAATTGAGTAGCCGCCTAATTGGCTGCTAGGAAACTTTCAGTTGGCCTAACACAGTGGTGGCAAACCTATGGCACACATGCTATTTCTATCATTGAAAACTCTGTTATTATATTTTTCTTTTAGTGCATGAGTTGGTTTTTCTAAACGAAAACCCCAGTATTCAAGTTTGATTGCCATGTTGGCACTTTGCAATAAATAATGGATTTTGGGTTGCAGTGTGGCTACTCGGTCTCTCCTTTTTTTTTTTTTTTTGTCTTTTTCCTTTTTATCGGTACCGGGGATCGAACTCACGACTGCCTGCTTGCAAGGCAGGCACTTATGCCACTAAGCTAAATCCCCAGCCCCGGCTACTCGGTCTCTATTGGATAGAAAAGAATATTTCAAAAGGGTCTTGCAGAGCAATCATATAGTATACTCAGATTTTATCTGTCAACATCTACATACTAGAAACTAAATTTACATTTATTAATCCACCTAAAATAACAGATATATTACATGTTAACATAACATGTTTTTTAAAAAATAACTATTTCCAAAGCAAAAATACATATAATGGGAAAAGCAGCATTGTTTTGCATTTAGAAAATAACCTTTAATTCTGGCTTAATGGAACCTGTTCTTGATTCTCTTCTGTTTCTACATTTGTACATTCCACTTAGAGTATAGAAGATTCTACTTAATGCTCATTACAGGATGAGTGTGAAAAAAGACATTGGCTTGATGTAATTATGAAAGTGGTCTAGATCCTATGGAAGGTTGACTGTACTTTGAAATTGCTGCATAAGGATGAGCTGAGGGAAAGATCTGCTGCTCTTAGGTAAAGGCCAGGTGCTAGAAAGGACAAAGGAGAGGTCAGGGAAGGCTTTGTGAAGGCGGCTTTGGAGGATGAACTTCAAGAGCCAAGAATACAGGAAGAAGACTGTTACTGAGGGCTGGTGTAAGATACTAGGAATACACAGGTGAGCTTGAGGGCTGGAGGTGACGTTGGAAACCCATGAATGAGACCGTACTAGAGAACGTACACCCTGGATTTTTCAGAGGAGTAGGATGATGTGTGCCCATTATTCCAGAAATCTTCGGTGGCAGTATGAGAGATGGATTTGAGAAATCAGATTGAAGGCAGAGAGGCCAGTTGGGAAGCTGTTAATGTCTTCTGTCTAAGAGTGGTGCAGGATGGCAAGTGTGTGTCCCAGCCTGGTGAGTTATGGAGAGTGGAGATACTGGAGAGATCAAGAAGCATCCAGTTTTTGAAACCAAGGGGAAAACAGCTTTAGGGTATGAAACATGAAAATGAATTTGGTCTTCGATGTTTTGATTTGTGGTACACCCCAAATACCCAGAGAAGAGACACTGGTCAGCCAAACCCCCTGAGGGCAAAAGGTGGGGCTTAGAATTTGTAAGAAGTTAGTGTTTCCACAGGACTGGCTTGGGTGACCCAAATGATTGCGCTAGAGAGAGGGGTTGAGCATCAGGTGTACTTCCTGTGGACTCAGCGAGGGGCATTTAACAAGAAACTTCCTGGGAATTCTGCTTTAAAGCTCAACTTCTGCCCCAACATTGGCCTTTTTGCCTCTCTGGCTCAGCTTCCTGAACAGTGGTGACCCTTGTGCTTCATTCCTGCCTACTTGGGTTGAAATACTCCCCCTGGAGTGAAGCAGCACTCTCAGCAGACAAAGGAAGTTTGGCTCTCAGCACACGCCCAGGAATCTTCAGGTGTAAGGAAGATCTTTTCCAGAGCTCTTGAGATATTTGCATGTTCCTGATTAAAGGAAGCAGATTTAAGTCTGCGTGGGAAAAGGCACAGTGGTTCTTGTGTCAGATGCCCTTAGGTATTTTATTCATCTGAAACTTTCTTTGTTCAAAGGGAAAGAGGATGTTTGAAGCTCAAGGCTTAGGGGACCTGAAGGAAGAGAGGGAGCAGGTCCTTTCTCCTGCTCTTTGCTGCTGCTTCCCCATCGCCTCCCTCCTCCATCCTGCCAGAATATTCTAAAAACCCAACTTGGTGATTCAAATGTAGCCCTTTGGTGCTTTTCCCTTCCTTTCTGTATCATTTGTGTCTCCTACTCACAAAATGACTTTCATCTCTACTATATCCTTTTAAAATATATGCCACCCAACTCTTTCACATTCCAAATAAACTGTCATCTTCTGTAGGACCCACGAGCTGTCTCAAAATAAGGGCACTCACATGGAGCCTCTTTCTTTTTACTCCTAAGTGTTCTTTGCTCTCAGATACCAGGAGCCACATAGCATGACAGAAGTTGCCTGGGCCTGGGAACAGAGTGATCTCAGGTTTAAATCCTGCTCTGCCTCTTATGATGAGATGATTTTAACCAGACACAGAACTTGTGGTGCCTCCTATGGCCTAGACACTCAAGAGATAGCAGCAGAGGGAGAAAAGGAGACACAGTCCGTCCCTTCATGGAGCTCATGATCCAGCAAGGCGAGGATGGACACAGATCATTACCCAAAGGCTGTGTGGATGAATGCTGTGGGTGAGAGTCCAGACTCTGCATCCAGGCTGCATGGATCAAACCCGGGCTGTGTCTCTGCTGTGAACCTTGAGCAAGTCACTTAACCGCTCAGTTTCTTCACTGTAAAATCGATGATGATAATTCTCTTAGGGTTGTAGAGAGAAAAACATTATATGTAAGCACGTAGAACATGCGTGGTGCTTGTGGAGCCTTATGTGTTAGTCATTGTCCTTGTTACAAAAAATAAGGGACAGAAAGAAGAGCTCAGGGTGTTTCAAGAATCTAAGAGTTAAGGGAGTTGATTTAGTTGGAAAGGTCAAGGAAAGCTTTGCTGAGGAAGTGAAAACAACCCTCAGGAGTTAGAGGGGGCCAAGCATGGTGGACCATGCCCCTAATCCCAGCATTCAGGAGGCTGAGGCAGGAGGTCACTGCTAGTTGGAGACCAGCCTGGGCTAGATAGTAGGTTCAAGACCAGCCTGAACTACCTGAACTATGTCCTGGGAACTTATCTTTAAAAAAGTTAGTGGGGGGCAGCAGGAAAAGCCCAGACAGGGAAGGCAAGAGAAGGGAAGGAACCCCGAGGCCTTGGAGCTTCTTGAGTCAACAAGCCCTTGTGCAGTGAGGGAGAGAGTTCTGGTCAGCTGAGTAGGCTAATGCCATGGCCAGCGCTGCCATCTGGGCAGTCAGTGGTGAGGCGCTGTGCTAAGAGGCAGGGGAGAGCGATGTGGGTCACTTGAAAGTCCTGCCAGGGCATCTCCTGCTTTGTGTGAGAGAACCCCGTGTGACTGATTCTCGGGCCTCGGTCCTGTGTTCCTGGGTCTGATACTCAGAGAGAGCCCTCCTCCCAGGAAGGAACTCCAGCTGGGGAGGTGGAGCACCAGTTCAAAGCCGGCACCCTCTGGAAACTGACCTTGTGCTGTAGTCACGCCTACATGAACAGAATCTCTTTTTACCTCGTAGGCCAAAGTGAGCTATGGCCCACAGTCCAGTCTGGCCTGCCACCTGTTCTTGCGCTACCATGGGCTAAGCAAGAGTGGTCTTTATACTTTTCTGCAGCTGGGATGGGGGAGAACTGATAGAGAAAGTGACCCACAGTGCCTAAAGTACTATTTGGCCTTTTACAGGAAGTTTGCCTGTCCTTATAAGCCCCACCGTGGTTCCCACTGAACTAAATCCACCTTGGCCCAAGAAAGCGATATATTGTGTGAGCCCTCGCTCCTCACTAATGACCATCTTTGATCTTCCAGGACAAATCCTTCAAAAAGACCAGGAAATCAAGGACCTAAAACAGAAGATAGCCGAAGTCATGGCCGTCATGCCCAGTATAACGTACAGTGCTGCCACCAGCCCCCTGAGCCCTGTTTCCCCCCACTACTCTTCCAAATTTGTGGAGACCAGCCCCTCTGGACTTGATCCCAATGCCTCTGTCTACCAGCCCCTGAAGAAATGAAGGCCAGCTGTGTGTTTGCCCAACCATTTGGTTTACCAAAAGGCCTCACAAAGCAGCGTCTCTGGCAGTCAAGATAAAAAAGTTTATATTGTATTTTGTGGGACTGTATATGTTGTCATTTTTAAAAAGGGGGGAGATAACATCCAAATCTGATTAGAACTGCCCATCAGTTCTTGTAAATTTTTTAGAAGACCTCACAGAACTTTGCAGTTTATTTTTCTCGGCCAACACATTAAAACCATTCTTGGATTTCAAGTAGCCAATTCTGCCTTTCATGTATTCTTCTATTAGTTTCCTCTTGAAGGAAAAAAAAGCAAGTTTTGCTTTTCAACCTCTTGCTTTCTTCTTAAATAAGTGGGCAAAAACTCTACATTGGATTTAAGTGGGATGATAATGAAAACTTAGTTTTTAGTGTAAAAGGGTTAAAATCACCTAACAGCTTTGATTATAGCTGCCTTAAAGAAGATGATTGTTGATATTACAGAAAGCAAAAATTGATTACCCCTTCAAGGACCAAACCAATTCCAGGAACGGCATCTAGGCTGAGGAGAGACTTAAGTGATGAGACTAGCTGTGAGAGCGTCCCAGGGAGTGTGTGACACGTTCATATTCCCATCGTGTGGTTAGTCCTAGAAAATGGCTGGCAGCAGTCTGTTTCACAGTGCCTTGGGAAAAGACGTTTCAAGAGGAAACTTATTTTTAAACTGTTTTCCCCTGTCACTCGTCTGTCTTCTCTCTGTGTCAAGCTCATGTGGATCCTGCTGTAGAACTGGTGGGTAGCTGGGCTGTTCTTACCTCCACGCCGCCTCTTCCATTTCTTTGGGTAGAAAATACCAGAAGACGTCCGGGGCTTGCCACAGCAGGCGCCCTGGGGAGGAAGCTGGGTGGTGTTCATGGCCAGGAGACCGTAACAGGCTAATCAGAGGTGTGGTCTAGGTTTTTCCCCTTTCATTTCATTTAACTGGGCTTTTTCCACTTTTCGTCGTCCTCTGTTTGACAGTTTGAAAGAGGCTTGACCCTTCTTCAGCTCTTGTGCCAAGCAGGTGGTATTTTTGTTTGTTTGTTTTTTCATTTTAGTTTGTTTTTTAAAAGACTTTTAAACTCAAAACTGCACAAAGATACTTGTTTCAACTGTGTAGTATACATTGGTAGGTGTGTTTGCACAGGAAACTTTCTGGAAGTATTTAAAAATCAGGGTAGGGTGGGGGGAGGGACTGGGAGAGAGGGCAAAGCAAAATTGAAATTAGGAAAAATTAAAGTAGTTTGGTTTTGCTTCCTTGCCACAGGTTCTGGAAGGATATAGTTCTAAAATTTCCTGTTAATTGGCATGTATGTCTTCATTTAAAGCAAATTAAGTAGGACAAGTCAGTAAAATAGCAGCATTAAAAAGAATCATCCTTTTAATCACAGGTCTTATTTTGGAATTAAAAAGAGAAACTTCTAGCTTTAGCCAGGCGTGCATGTTGCTGCCATTTGCATTTTTGAATCATCCTGTGTAACTGTCACCATGAAAATGTTACTCCGAATTGTCAGATTTTTTCATCTTTGTGCAAAAACATGGAAAATTGTCACTGACTTTGTGTTGAGGTTCCCCCCATTTTGCTGCCTTTGGGACACTATTTTTGTTAAAAACGTGGTCTTGGCTGCATTCTTTTTTTTTCCCCTGTGGGGTTCAAAAGAATAAACATTTTCTTACTGATAAAACTAGTTTTCTGCCTTTTTAACTTCCAGAGGGCACAGCAAGGTAGATAGTTGTGAGTGGGGCTGAGTGGTTACTGCCTTGTCTCCCCACCAGATAGCAGAGTCCCCGCAGCACGTCCTGGGCAGGGAGCAGACACGGGTTTGGAAGATGCCCTCCAGGATCTCCGGTTGGCTTGCTGTCTGTCCTGACTTAAGACGCATCTGTTTTCATTCACACCCTCCCCACCACCCTCCACCTTCTCTAGCATCTGGTTAGAGCCAAAGCTATCTTACTTTCTGGTGTAGCCCTTCTTTCCCAAAACAGTGTTGGGTGGGGCTGGGAGGTAGTTGGTAAGATCTTGAAAGCAAGTTTTCTTTGCTGTATCTTGCCCTCTCTCATTTTTCCAGAATCTTCTTGGGCTATGTAGTGACCAGTACCCAGTAGAGTTTCCTATCTGCTACGGATCCTGAACTGACTTTCCAAGTGATCCTTCTATTATCTCCCCTTATTGTTAGAGACTGTGTGTTTTCATCTTCCGAGAAGCCAGCTGCCTCTCTTGGCCAGTGCTTTCCTCTCTTGGCCATTGTTACAATTGATCTTGGCTTGAGTTCTGGAAAACTCTGCGCCTGGCACCTTACCCTCTGTCCTTTTTGCTGGACAGTCTTTCTGAGTCTTGGCCATGGAGTCCCTTGCAGACATCCACACTCAGTACCATGAGCAGAATTCCTCAGGGAAATACCTGGGCTGGGCTGGGCTGGACTGGGCTTAGCATGGCTTGGCTTCTGCCTTTGCCTTCCCTGAAGGGCTGTGTCTGCCTGTAGGGCTTGCATGTTCTTCTCCACCAAGGAAATCTCCAGTTGTCATCTGTGTTATTCTAGGCCCATCATAAAGTGGCTCCACAGTTAGCACATTGTAATTTATTACACACCATAAAGCAGTGTTTGCCATTCTAGATGATTAAATATTTACAGGAAGAATGGGCTGTGTTTTGACTGGCCAGCTAAAACCTCTTTTTATTGACATCTCCCACTTTGCAGAAGGAAATAGCTGTCATATGTTCATCCTCCCTGTGATAATCTAAGAGATCCTATAAAATCAGGACGAACCGTCTGTTGTGGCTCCCAATACGAAGGAAAGGAACCGTTTCCCTCCTACTGTCCCATTTCCACATGTTCACCCATCTATGCAGTATTCCAGGCTCCGAAAGGCTGCTCGGGAGGGCCCAACATTCTAACAGCTACTGTCATGTTGCTGCTTGAGAAATTCACAGCACACCAGGGGTTGCTGAAGAGGTAAACCAGAAACCTACCCTAAAGCTGTTTCTGTGAAGCCAAACTAGAAGACTTTAAAGATGGACTATTGTAGCACGGCCATCTAGGTTAAAGGGCTCCTGAGACTGTGAATGTCTGGCTGTATGTGATTGTCGGTGCAGTTTACTGCTGACCCTGTTTCTTCGCACGCCTGGTGGTCCTTGCCAAGTGCGCCACCTCCAGGAGCCCTACTCTGCTATTATTCATGCAGAGCCACAGCCAGGCCTGCAGACCAGGAGCGGAGACTCTTCAGCTTTGCGTCACCGCTTCTGACCTCCTAACGTGTGGGAGTTGCTTCCCGGAGGAGTCTTGTTGCTTGTCTTGCTTAGAGGAGAGCCGTGGAGACTGGGTGACATGATGTACCGAGCACTGTGGAAACTGCCCAGGGCCACCTCCCAAATGGACCAGCAACAGTGAGTCATGATCAGGACAGGGCTCTGGCTCCTGGGGGTCAGCTGTGGCTCCCAGCGCCTGACTCCTGACTCTTAACCCCAGCTATTCAGGAGCACGGTTGGCAGCTGTGGACCAGCAGCACAAATCCCCGATGAGAACGAGAATCTGACCCTTCCCCAGAATGCCCGCACCTTCCTGAATGGTGATTTGGTTGCATGTAGTTTTAGAAGCCCCATTCCCTAACCTGAAGACTGCTGTCACCCTCTTCTAGTCCCGAAGAAACTCAGACTTGTACATTTTAGAATTAAGAGCTTAATTGAAAAGGAAGCCTGCAGGTGAAAGTCTCTTAACACCTTATGTTTTCTCACCATTGGAGTACAAGCTCTATGAGAATCAAGCTCTTTTGCTTCTGGGGGGAGGTATAGCTCAGCAGCACCATGCCTGCCTGGCAAGCGCAAGGGCAGGAATTCAATTCCTAGTGCTCAAAAAAAATTTAGGAAGAAGAATTTTTTGTCTTTGCTGCTATAACCCTGGGACCTAGAATATTGATTGCTACACAGTCAATTAATAGGTGAGGCATCGGGGCTGGGGATTTAGCTCAGCGGCATAGGCGCCTGCCTTGCAAGCGTGCAGTCGTGAGTTCGATCCCTGGTACCAATTTAAAAAAAAAATAGATGAGGCATCTTAACTTCATCGGAGCATCTCTGGAGTAGTACCACCAGAATGACAAGTCTAAACAATAGTTTCTGAAAGCTGAGGCAGAGTTCAAAGCAGCAAATTTACTACAACATCTTGTACCTGCCAGATTTTCTCTACAGATGCCTGGTTGATTCAGCCAGGTGTGAAGATTTGCTAAACAGCTGGATGCACTGTGAACAACCCCTCACCATGGGGGACCTGCCAGGAACCTACCCATTCTTCAGCCTTAGACCTGACTTTCCCAGGAGCCAGTCCCCACCGGGAGAGTCAGTGCAGGCTGTAGTCGGATGAGCAGGCCTTTCCTGCAGGAAGGTGTCCGGCTGAATGACAGGATCTCTCCTCACCGAGGGGCCCACATGTCCCTCTCTTCTGTCCTCCTTCCTTGAGCTCAATTTGAGGATTTCCACTTTCCAGGCTCAACATTTGCCTTTAATTTCTCTGCTGTTCCCTGATATTCAGCTCTTAACATCCCCCTCATGGTGGATTTTCTGGGTGCTGGATCACCCTGCGGTGTCACACACCTCTGATTTGTCTCCTGATTCCCAGCCTTAGCTACACGTGATGGCACTTGTTAAACCCAGACCAGGAAACTGGGCCAGTTTAGTTGGAAGCTGCTCTCTCCTACTGTTTTGGAGGTGACAGGCAGGTGGAGCGAGGTGTGCAGGGACCTTCATGAGATAAGGCTTGGCCTGGTGTCAGCAGCCTGTGTCCTCATGCTTCAGCTTCACTGTCCTGACCGTGGTTGTGGGTCTGGGTCAGGGACCCGTTTGCTTTTAGAGGCCTATGCTTTTCACACCTCTCTGGTTCCACTGTGCTACCGAGCCCATACTGATTTAGAACCATGATTCTCAAATCTAAAAGTTGGTCAGCACAGCCTGTTGAAACGGGAAGCACCAAGCTCCAGCTGAGTGTGTGGTGTTCAAAGCTTGCCCAAGGCACCCACAAGTGAGTTTGTAACAAGTTTCCAAGTGAGGCTGGATCCTGAGCCTGGACTTGGAGAACCACTGAGCCCAGGACTGACCCTGGGCCCGGCCTTGGAGCCATCCCACCAACTGCCACCAGGGGGCACATGGGACCTCCGCCGGAGGGCCCATTTCCCTCCCACCAGCAGCCAGGTCCTGGGGCCGCAGAGCCTGTTCTCTAGAGACTTCTAATGGCAGTGTTAGAATCAATATTGGAG